TACATACATACATACATACATACATACATACATACATACATACATACTTGTTTTGCCGATCTGTCATTGGGTGAGAAGTAGGCTACATCTTGGACAGGTAAAATCAATTATTAACTGTATTCCCAAAATTTGTGTTGCTATTAAACCACAAAAAAGAGAAGTAAGGAATATAAGCAGTGGATAGATGGGCTGATCCCACACCTGTTGCTCCGTGTCTAAAACAACTACTTCAAGCAATGCTTCAGATAGCATTTAAATGTATTTTCTGCATTTTAGTTTATTTTAAAAGTCTACCAAAAATATTTATTCTGTTAAAAAAAAATTACACTGTTTTCCTACATATTAAAGGAATTAACATAACAAATTCTGATTCAAAATTCTGGCTTTTTTTTTAAATCCATTTCTTCTTCAGTTAGGTGTTAAGGGCTTTTTTTAAATTCTCTCTGACTCCCTTGAATTTATTGCTTTTTTCAAGTCTCATGATCAGGGCTTCACAAATTAATGGTCACATAACAGTAATGTCAATGATTGTCTGGTTGTTCTGATGATGACAATCACAAATAATTGTTGCATGTATGATGGAAATAGAAATGGAAAACACTTTATTTTATATTCATATTTATTTGATAAATCGAACTGGTTTTAAGTGTACCAATTGAAAGGCTATTTATGATGACACACTCTTGGAGAACACAGCATGGGGTCAACTGTTTAATTAAGAAGACCCAAAACAAATAATGGCTCTGGGTAATATGTAGTCTTTTCTGTGACATCAACCTGCTTTTGAACATCTGTTTTATAATGCTAATATTCAGTGGATGGCCAACATAGTCTGAGAAAGACACTGCACTCTTGACAACAGGCCTCCCGTGGCTTTTAAATAATTTGAAGGGATCCTGTGTTATCACATATTTAACTTATTCTATGTATTTCTTCCACCATAAATGCTTTTCCCTCAAGCCCTAAACCTTGTCATAGCTGCTATTAAAGAAAGAACACTTGATCTGCACTTACATTTCAGTTTGTTTGTGGGGATAAGGTGCATGATGTTTTCACCTTCAAAATTCAGCTCTTCATCACATTACATCTATTGCAAGTGTTTAGATGTAATAAAGTAAGGAATAATCAGAGTCTCTTATTTCTAGCCCTTTCAATGTTATGCCAAGGTTTATATGAGAAAATCACTGAGCTTCAGTTCCTCATTACTCCTGCATATACAGTTTGTGTACAAATATATTATAGAGTATAAAACTGTAGATCTCAAAGAATAAAATATTGTCTTACAGAAAATGTTACTGGTGCCAGGTATATGTTTTGGCAATGAGGCTGCTGGATTGCCTATAGGATACAAATTATAATTTATTTTTCATACCCCAAGCATCTTTCTGCATTACATTTATTTTGCATTCAATCTTTCTCCAAAGGACATTATTCTTTTCAACTTAATCAACTCTCATCTGGACATGCGTCCGTCACTATTGCAGGCTTGGAAGATATCAAGTCCCCGTTAAAGGATTGTATCCAGAAGTGCTCAAACAATTCTAAGACGTTATGCATCTGAGAAATTTGATATGCTTATTGATATACCTTGTTAGTTTTAGTAAGATACACATATTTTGATTGTGAAAAAATCTCTAAAATATTATCTTTTGAAGACATAAGTGTTACTGCTGTGATTGACCATGGTCTTGGTTTAACTTTTATTTTTACTGGATTTCCTTATCATCACCACCATCCCAGTCTGCCAATCCAGCTGAACTGCCCCTGATGTCCAGGCAATGTTGCAGAGTCACGTTAGCCAATGCAGCCCCACAACATCAAGAACTTTGAGGAACTCCGGTGAATCTCATCCACCCCTGGGGCCCTGCCACCGCGGAGCTTTTTGACTACCTCGTGACTTCAGCAAAAGTTGGAGAGCCCAAGTTAGGATTCTCAGGCTCTCCCCCTCCAGTGGAGAATGCACCAGTGGTATTGAGGAGGTTTTCGAAGTACTCCACCCACCGACCCACAACGTCACGAGTTGAGGTCAAAAGCACACCATCCCCACTGTAAACAGTGTTGGTGGAGCACAGCACAGAAGTCCAACAACAAAACACCACTCGGGATCGAGCTAGGGGGGCCATTCTTCCCAACCACATCCCTCCAGGTCTCACTGATCCATTGCTCACGTGAGCGTTGAAGTCTCCCAGCAGAACAAGGGAGACTCCAAGGGGGGAACCCTCCAGCACCCCCTCCGAGAACTCCGAAAAGGGTGGGTACTTTCCACTGCTGTTAGGCGCATAAGCACCAACAACAGTCAGCACCTGTCCCCGCACCCGGACGCGAGGGGACGCTACCCTCTCGTTCACCGGGGTAAACCCCAACGTACAGCCACCGAGATGGGGGGCAACAAGTATGCCCACTCCTGCTCGGCGCCTCTCACCGTGGGCAACTCCAGAGTAGAGGCTGACATTTTTTCGGGAATCCCACAGGTCACGGGATTCCCGCGGGATTCCTGCGGGATGGGAGTCATCTTCGCTATTAATCACGGGATTGGGACGGTACAGGATGAATGGTTAACGGGAGCAGACGGGAGCGGGAATCAACCAATAGCAAAGACGAAAAAAAAAAAAAAATAGTAAATCCACCATTTTGTAGTTTCCTTTTAATATCCCTACAATGTAACGCAATTAAAAAATAACTACATGACCCAGTGGTCCCAGAAGCCATCGGTGCTTTTTGTCACGGCTTACCGCCAGAATTCAAATAGCAGTGATGGAGGGAGCTAACAGCCGCGGAGACGTCGATGCAGCAAAAAATGATTTACAGCGGAAAGTAAGATGTAACGACATTTCTATTAAGTTCACAGAACTGGTCGGAAAGTCTGACATATTATTTAAGTTTAAAAGAGTGGAATGTGACGGTGTTAGCACGGTGTACGCTGCTTGTAAGACTTGTTTAGTGTTGGTCAAGTACGCGAGTGATTCGGGGACGAGCGGTCTGAAGAGGCACACTTGCAAGGCAGATTCGGGAAAGAATCAGCCAAGCATCGCTTCGTTCATCAAGCGAAAATTGCCGTCGGGTGTCAAGTCTCGTCTGACCGACAAAATTGCTCGCATGTGCAGCCAAGATCTCAGACCCTTTGCTATATATAAAAATATATATATAAAAAATATACGGGAGCGGTACAGGAGCGGGAGTCAGTTTAAACGGGAGCGGGATGGGAGCGGGAGTCAATTTACCAGGAGCGGGATGGGATGGGATTATTTTTTAAACTTTGGTCTGGGAGTGGGACGGGACAAGATTTCTTTCTATGAGAGTGGGACGGGACAGGAGTGAAAATCCACTCCCGTGTCATCCTCTACTCCAGAGTAGTAGAGCGTTCAACCCCTCTCAATAAGGCTGGTTCCAGAGCCAAGGCTGTGTGTCGAGGCGAGACCAACTATGTGCAGCCGGAATCTATCCACCTCGCACATAAACTCAGGCTCCTTCCCCACCAGAGAGGTGATATTCCACATCCCTAGAGCCAGCTCCTTCAGGAAGCCCGGGATCAGTCCACCAAGGTCCCGGTCTCCGGTCGTCACCCAGAACACAACGCACCTGACCCCTACGGCCCCTTCCATGGGTGGCGAGCCCATCGGAAGGGGGACCCATGTTGCCTCTTCGGGCTGAGCCCGGCCGGGCTCCATGGGCTAAAGCGCAGCCACCAGGCGCTCGCCATCATGCCCAACCTCTTGGCCTGGCTCCAGGGTGGGGCCCCAGTGAACCGCATCGGGCAAGGGAACACTGGGTCCATTTATCATGATCATCATAAGGGGTCTTTGGGCTGTGCTTCATCTTATCCCTCACCTAGGACCTGTTTGCCTATTTTAAACTTTTTTTGAGAAATCCAAACCAACAATAACTCAAGAAATCAGCAGATGTAGAAACTGAGGACACTGAAAAGCTTACTTATGAGAAGTTATGAAATAATCAGAGAGAAAGGAAAGCTATAGTGAGCAAAGAATTGGGATTGCAGGACATGGCAAAAAATATTCAGTACTATCAGCATAGGTTGGAAAAAATCAAGAAACCTAAATTTGAACAGGGTTAGAATTATTTCAGGAGCATAAAGAAAACTAGTTTAAACATAAAACAATATGAAGATAAAGCTTTACCAAATGACATCTGTACAAGGAAAGCAAGACTACATGCAACAAAACATACATAATGAACCATTAACCCACCATGTATATTGTGTTTGTGTCAATTCAACCAAGTGATTTTATATATGTTCAAATTATCATTTCAAAATCACTTTTTGATTATCATAACTTGATTATTTTTTTCACCTTATACATTTACATGAATATAATGCAGATATGAACGGGATTTCCCACACATTACAATGTTCATTGGCTCATTGTGCCAATTAGAAAATTCTATCTTGAAGGTGGTTGGCAGGGCTAACATATACAAATGTCGGATGCCAGTAGGCTCTCTTGTCATTATTTTTAAATATTGCAATGTCTTGTGTGGAAAAAAAATATTCTTTGTCCTTTGCACCACCTATTGAGGCTCCCAGAAAAAGGGAAAAAATCAACATAGCAGCGAAACCATTCAGTCATTAAATGATTTTCTGATTGTAACTGCAGTTACAAACTTCAGCCCTGTCCCTTTGTAGTTAATCATGTTAAGCATGTGAGAAAAAAGCAATCAATTTACAGTATAAAAACAGTTTCTTAGGGTTACTGATGGGTTACTTACAGACAGAACTGTCATTTAGTTTAGGGTTGGATTTCATTTCATTATATTTTTTTGATAGATATACTACAGTGGATTACTAAAAGATTTATTTAAAATTCATACTCAATGTCTCTTAGAAAGCATTCATCCAAAATTTGAGACAACTTCTTGAAAGACAGTAAGTACATTAATTGTCTCTGTGAAATCTGTATTAAATCATTAAATTCACCATTATATATAAATTATTCAGCACCTGTGTGTGTGGAAAGTTTTTATGAAGCCAAGTTATGGAATGACAATGAGTACCACACTTGCTGATGGTGAATCGTCTGAGTTTGCCATTCATTTCCAGGAATCCAACATTTTTAACAAGAAAAACTTGACAGTAACTCTCAGAATGAACCTGCAACTCTGAGGCCATTAGCCAATAATTGAGGTTGAAGCGTCCTGGTGAAGACTAGCAGACCAAAATCTGATCAGGAGAGCAAGGAACACTATTATATTCTTGAAAAACTCTATGCTATTTTGAAGCTCTATGCTTGTGTTATATTTGCTGCACTGGTGTGTAGCTATGCATATCTTTTTAAATGTTTCCAGCACACATTATTGACATCCAGATATGATGAAAGAATCTGTGGTCAGTAGAAGGAAGAGACTGCACCAAAATAGTAAAAATGAGCTATGATTCCAAATTTGTTTAAGAAATGTTTATATGATGTTAATAAAGAGGTATCTATGAGGATTGAACAGAGAGCGGCTTGCCAATCATATTGTATGTTTGTGCTTAAACTCACAAAAGTATATTGCTCATAATGGTACATCCTCTGTTACTTCTAAAGTGTGGATTAGGGATAGTCGGGTAAAAAAACAAACATGTTATGATAAAGAAAAACCTTCCTCAAATTAGCAAAAAATATGACACATTTGCGAGAAATGAATGATGAAGCCCTGTGTGGAAGTTTTCATACACCTCACCATCTTTTTTCACCAATAATTTAAGTAATTGTTGTCTGGATTATGTTATAAGTCTCACTTGTGTTGAGAGCTATCATCCCACTATTCTTTAAAACATTGCTTCAGTTCATTTAGCCTGAGGGTATTTGCTGATACACAACTCTCAAAGTCCTTCATTGCATTTTAATGTAATGTGAGATGTGGGGGCAGAAGCACAGAACTGTTTTCCCACACAAAGGCATAAATGTTCATACATTTTCCCCACATGTTTTGAGCATGTGTAGATCTGGTTCTCACTTGCCTATGCTTTCATTTGGAAATCAAGATGTGGTTTCCACCACAATTTAATAGGCATTATTATGAGACAAATTTGAGAGAGAGAGGTGAATTCAAATGCAGGTTGGCTGGACGTAAGCTTTATTGAACTAAAAGATCCTCAGAACTCAACTTAGAACATAGCAAAAGTGAAAATTCAAAGTGAAATAAAAGATGAATACAACAAATGTGAAGGTTCACGTCACATTTGAGCTACCAGATTGCTCTCTGTAGCTTTGTAGGTGATTGCACAGCTTTTACAATGTAAATGGTAATGCAGACAGGGGATGTACTCACAGATGTTCATATGGATTACTGTATGTTTTCTGTTTCTCCTGAATAGCCCTACAGAACTTTATGAAAAAAATTGTGATTACAATTGAGATATACACAACATAGATTTATTTCATCACCATCTCCTTCATCTTTTTCTAATGAGATGATTGCAACTGAATACTAAACAACCTATTTAGTTTTTCTTTTCTTTTAGTCTCAATTTAATGCACATTAACAAATATTTAGCTGTGGGCGGAACATTTTCTATATTTTTATTCCTACGTCTGTATTTGTCACAAAAAGATAAAAGAAAAAAGAAAAAACATAACATCACTGCTATTTACACGATAGTGCAATGTATGTTTCTCAATTATACATCGGACACATGAGTTTAAAAGCAGCTGCTTGGCACTTACATATACAGATAACGCTATAATGCATTTATGAATTTCATACATAAACAAAGCCCTTCACAGTCTCCTTATGCATGGTTTTAGCGTATGCCTGCAGGACAAAATTGTCAATATTATTCAAAAGAAATTTAACAGTGTTTATTTACTATTATGTTTTCATCTCTGTCAGCACATTTGCCATTTCAACTGATGATGATAAAATGTGAAATAACAAATTTCCCTGCACATTTATTTAAAATGCAAATGACTAATCAAACAAACTCAAACTCAAAAAAACATATCACAGTCTTCCCGAACTGGTGTGTCTTCGTGCTCTGTTTGTATGATCTTGGTACGGACTGTGCTGGAAGTTAATTTCTCCATGTGAGATCATTAAAGTATTAATCAATCAATCAATAAATCATAAATAAAATAAATAATAATAAATAAATCAAAGAGCATATGTATCACAGTTTCTTCAGGTGTGTTTCCAGCCTCAGCTTAACCCAATACTACATGAATCATAATAATTTCATCGAGGATTTTTTTTAATTGTTTGGGATTTTCCTGAGGCATAAAATGGTGATAACATTTCTTTTTTGGCAAAAGTTGATTTATCGAGGATTTTTCCAGATTTCTACTTGAGTCGAAACATACATTTTGAGGTTTGTTAAAATTCTGTAAGTTGAAATGTGAACATATTTTGACATTTGTTAACAGAGTGCATAAACAGATATGTGCGTGCAACTCTCATCCTATTTAATATTCATTACTATCGCATCCCTTTTATCACTCCCATTCATTCAACCCCTTAATTAATTTTAATCTATCTCAGCGCCTCTTTAATGGTATATGATGGTGGACTTTTTTTTCGTTGTTGAATGATGCACCATTATCAACTTCAGTGGCCTATACATATTAAAAACATACAAACCCATATATAGACAAGAAAATGGCTTTTAAAAAGCTGTCCACCATAGTAGCATTGTGCATGAAAGGGTTAAGAATAATTTATAGTCCATATGGGTCCATATAAAAATGTAAGTGGTAAAACTGTTACTGATGATTTAAAAAATCGCAGAAAATAGACTGATGCCACTTAACCATTGCACAGATAGATTAGGTCAGAGTAATTTGGATTCTTACTGTGAGGCCACATTGGAGGGCAGAATCTCCCCATAGACTGGCTCCTGCTGAGCCCCTTCAGGTATCATCCTCACGCTCAAACTGCCACCGTCTGTGGTGCTTGGATTCACACGGAACTTTCTATTAATTGGGCGCACAGTCCTGACAAACTGTCTCTTGAAGGTTTCGCTGAGGACAATGTAGAGGAAGGGATTGATGCAGCTGTTTGCATAGCCCATGCTAATTGCAATATTGTAAGCATATGAGAAAGCCTGGCTTGGCTTTTGCACCCCAAGGTGGACAAGCTGCAGAATATAGTAAGGAGCCCAGCAGATGAAGAAAGCCAGGCAGATGGCTACTGCCATCCGGGTCACTTTCCTAGTGCGCACCCTAATACTCCGTGGAGGCAGCGGTGCCACACTGGTGGACATGTGTTTGAGGATCTTGAAGAACACCAGGCAGATAATAGCCAAGGGTATAGCAAAAGCCAAGAAAAATTGGTAAAGGGTAAACCAGTATGTATTAGTGACTGGATCAGGCAGAAGGAGAGCACAGGCAACAAGTCCGTCTGGGAGAGGCATCAGACCTGAATACATCCAAACTGGGATCGTAGTAAGCAAAGACAGGCCCCAGACCAGTCCAATGACCACTGCAGCCACACAGGGTGTACGGACATAGTTGAAGCGGATAGGATGAACTGTAGCCAAGTAACGGTCAAGAGTCATTGCGGTGAGAATGTAAGTACTCACTAACTGGCTATTGGAGTCAAGAGCAGTGATGAGCGTACACATAGCAGCTCCAAAGTGCCAGGTACCATTGCCCAACAATTGATGGATTAGAAATGGCATCCCAAGTAGAAACAGGAGATCAACAATTGACAAATTTAAGATAAAGATGTCTGGAACCGTTTGATTGGCATGACACTTGGTTTTCTTCATAATGGTATACATGACACTACAATTCCCAACGATACCCAGAAAACAGATAATGCCAAAGATGACTGGGAGGCTGGCATCACATTGAAGGTGCTGAGATTCAGCTGTAACAAAAAAAAGTAGCAATTAATTTGAGAAAAAATTATGAATGTGATGTTCTTTCATTATTTAATCACTATTGGAAAAAAATCTAATATTGAATGAAAAAACATTCATTCATACTATAACATACTTAATTGACATCATCAATATCACACAGAATTCCATGTCAATTCAGTTCTAATCGTTCTAATGATCAATACTGAATGCTAACTTTTACCACAAATGTCATACACAGACACTCGTGTATAATTTCTGAGGATGTACAGTGTTCAGTTGAGGAAGTGCTTTTTTCTCCAACACACAAATAAGCACCAACATAGATACCCTGGAGGAAATGTGTAATTTAGAGTCTTTCTCAAAGGCTTTCACATGGTTGTTCCGGGAAAGATATTAATTAAATCATTGACCTTTCAATTGGCAATAAGACTTATACCTAATCTAAATTCAGTTAATTGTTTATAACTAACAATATTATCACTGTTGTTTTTATTGTTAATATTATAATTTTTGCAACTACATCATGTGTTTTTATCCCTCTTGGTGTATGAAAGACATAATGTTACTATAATTGAATGGCGTTTGTGTAAATCGCTCTTTGAAATAGTCAAAAATGCAGATTCCTGGTCATGAATCTCGATTATGGTCATGTTAGAAGATACGAGTTTGCATTGTATGAAAAGCTTAAATTGGACAAATAAAAAAAGAAACAACCAAATCCAACTATGATTTGCCTTTCTTTGATCTATTTGTATAGTTATTCAAAGCTAGATATATACAGGGGTTGGACAATGAAACTGAAACACCTGGTTTTGGACCACAATACTTCAATATTATGGTATAGGGCCTCCTTTTGCGGCCAATACAGCGTTAATTCGTCTTGGGAATGACATATACAAGTCCTGCACAGTAGTCAGAGGGATTTTAAGCCATTCGTCTTGCAGGATAGTGGCCAGGTCACGACGTGACACTGGTGGAGGAAAATGTTTCCTGACTCTCTCCTCCAAATCACCCCAAAGTGGCTCAATAATATTGAGATCCGGTGACTGTGCAGGCCATGGGAGATGTTCAACATCACTTTCATGTTCATCAAACCAATCTTTCACCAGTTTTGCTGTGTGTATTGGTGCATTGTCATCCTGATACACGGCACCTCCTTCAGGATACAGTGTTTGAACCATTGGATGCACATGGTCCTCCAGAATGGTTCGGTAGTCCTTGGCAGTGACGCGCCCATCTAGCACAAGTATGGGGCCAAGGGAATGCCATGATACGGCAGCCTAAACCATCACTGATCCACCCCCATGCTTCACTCTGGGCATGCAACAGTCTGGGTGGTACGCTTTTTTGGGGCTTCTCCACACTGTAACTCTCCCGGATGTGGGGAAAACAGTAAAGGCGGACTCATCAGAGAACAATACATGTTTCACATTGTCCACATCCCAAGATTTGCACTCCTTGCACCATTGACCCCGACATTTGGCATTGGCACGAGTGACCAAAGGTTTGGCTATAGCAGCCTGGCCGTGTATATTGACCCTATGGAGCTCCCGACGGACAGTTTTGGTGGAAACAGGAGAGTTGAGGTGCACATTTAATTCTGCCGTGATTTGGGCAGCCGTGGTTTTATGTTTTTTGGATACAATCCGGGTTAGCACCCAAACATCCCTTTCAGACAGCTTCCTCTTGCGTCCACCGTTAATCCTGTTGGATGTGGTTCGTCCTTCTTGGTGGTATGCTGACATTACCCTGGATACCGTGGCTCTTGATACATCACAAAGACTTGCTGTCTTGGTTACAGATGCGCCAGCAAGACGTGCATCAACAATTGGTCCTCTTTTGAACTCTGGTATGTCACCCATAATGTTGTGTGCATTGCAATATTTTGAGCAAAACTGTGCTCTTACCATGCTAACTGGACCTTCAGAGTCTGCTCTTATTGGTTCAATGTGCAGTTAATGAAGATTGGCCAATTTAGCCATAAAACCTCCCACACTAAAATGAGAGGTGTTTCAGTTTCATTGTCCAACCCCTGTATATATATATATAACAATCAAACCTTTGGTAAAAAATCACTCTATGACACGTTGCTACATATGAAAATTTAAGACATCATAAAAATAACTGCAGCAGCGTTTTATATTCGATGGCTTTAATTTTGGACACAGTTGGTAACAGTGTGAAGCGCTGTTGGCTGCATGTTATGATCAATCCCACATGCACATCTTACCTGTCGTTGAATTAGTCCCAATGGAAAAATTCTTGTCGTCAAAAAATTCCATGGTTTAAAATCCAAATGTGTTCATTCGTTTAAATGTTATCCAGGGAAATGTGTGTTGAAACTGTCTCAGTTCGCACTCTGAGCGTATTTGTGCGCTCTGCGCCCTGAGTGAAAAAGCTCATCTGTGCGCCGCTCAGGACCATCTGACGCGTCTGGCGCTAGCTTGAATTTATTACATTTGCGCAGCAGGTGTCAGTCAAGCTGGAAATCTATATGAAATGAAAAGGAGCCAGCACCTGACCCGAGAGTGCGCGTGTGTGCTGCCCCCATTTGTTTCTGCTCTGATCCCCTGGAGCATGTTTGATGTCCCAGAGTGTGCTTTTATATACGGAGACTGCATTTAATATTAACCAGAAAAACATAAGAGAAAAAAAGCAGAACTTCAATGGATGGATTCCAATTGAACTATGAGGGAGGATTTTATTAAAATGTGCACCGTCAAATTATTTTCAGGGTTTTTAAAGATCTTTTTTTAAAACCTTATCCTGTGAATGATTATGGCACAGAACTTAAATCTGAGTACCTGTGCTGAACACATTCGCTTTGCCAAGGGAGGGTTAATGGTTTAAAAACGGCCCTTGATTATCCATCCATCCATCCATCCATCCATCCATCCATCCATCCATCCATCCATAACACCCATCTGTACAGCCTCCCTCCCTATTGATTATCTAATAGCACTTTATTTATTTATTTGTGTTACAAAAAAAATACATGTATCCAAAGATACCACACCTGACAGGGGGACAGGGAAGAAGGAAGAGCAAAGAGAAGCAAACTACCCTGAAAAGGAAAAAGATTCTTTAGATAGAGAGAGAAGGAAAAAAGACAACAAAACCATACAACAAGCTGCTATATCTGTAAAATAAATTTAAATCACTCAGTATGTACAGTATGGTGCGTGCAGGAATTCTACACCTTAGACATGTTGACAATTCCTTACAGACTTCCGACCAGATCATATAAACAGGCGCACAAAACCACAAAGCATGTGATTATACACACTGGTGCTGGAACCACGAAGTGTGTGGTTCAAATTGCACAGACATGGTGTGTGCAGATATTTTGAGGGTGTTCTTTTGGGTCACATAGATTGCTAAATAAAATACAACAACAGTCTCTCCCTAAGGAGATAGAAATAACTTGACGTCTGTTCCTTTCCACTAGATGGCTTGGTTTGGCTTCAGACCATCAATTTGGGATTTAGATGTCTTTTTCACATAACGATTGATTTACCAAGTTAGAGCCACACAGTGAGTTGTAGCAGATCATTTATTCTGTGGTCAGAGTCTCTCTAAATGCCCAATTGGTTAGCTGTTTTTGTGTGTTTAATACCAGTCCCTCTCCATTTTTTTCTCATTTACGGGAGTTTGGCTGTAAGTAAGCTGTAAGTTTTAAAAATCAATATTGAAAGAAGGTAAGATTCACATCACATGAAACATCACATCCTAAACTAAATTATCTCAGTATATCATGGTGGATAGCAAAATAAAGTAAAAGAAAATAATAAAAAACAAAGGAAGATTGAAAAACACTTTTCAGAATATAAAGAACATCGATATATAAGCAGTATCTACTCAAAAACTAAATATGCAATGAAGTGGATGAGGAAGCCCTTATCCTAGGACAAGCATTTCTGCATGAAAGGGTCTCCCATGACAGACCGCAGACCCATCTTCTTTTGGAGATAAGTATCTTATTGAGAAATAGAGATTCTCAAGCAATGGACTAAGATATTTATGTAGGCTCCTGGGTCCAAATATACAGCACTAGACGGCGCAAACCCATGCTCTCACTGTACCACATGTGGTCTGTGTCACATTGAGATGGTAAGCAAGTGGGAGCTTCCTTTCTTCTGTTGGGGATACAGAGAACCTCAATAAAAGAACCATTTGCTGCACAATAAGACGTATTTGTCTGGTGCTGAAGTCCTTCAGCAACATATAAACATGAAGACCCCTCTACATCAAGGACTGATTTTACAAGATTGCAGGTAACCCCAATTTCAATGTGCAACCATTAGTTTCTGGTTTGATTATTTACAGTTGTACACTGTTGGGGAAATCAATATATGTATAATCACTTTCTTAAGGTTTCTAGGGAAAGTTTCCACAAACCTATATTCTGAAAGTTATTTTTCTTTCTTATGGGACTCTTTCCTCTTTCAGGGTTTCAGAGAAGGTGTCCTTATACGTTATCACTTGTATGATCATGCTGGTTGCTCTCACTTAATTTAATAAATGTTCTATTTCTCATTTTGACGGACTTTAGAATAGAATTTCCACAACAGATACTCAAAATATTTTTTTGTTACAGCTTTCCCCAACATCATTGGTGCAGTGGAATGCACACAAATATAGATCCAACGCCCCTATGGAGAACATGAGGGTGTAAACAGGAAATCCTTCCA